GTCTGAAAATATCTTTATTTCCTTTTTATTTGTCAAACAATATTATCACATTTCATAGAAATCTAGACAGGCATGTTACTGGGGTTTTTTCCCCCCTCAGCACCTTAAAGATGGCATTCCATTCTATCCTGTCTTCCATAGTTTCTATTTAAAAGTAAAGAAATAGTGTTACTCTTTCTACTCTGAAAGTAATGTGGTGTTTATATTCTGGCTGCTTTTAAATTGCCTCTTTGTCTTTGTTTTTTAGCAGTTTGATTATGATGCTTCTGTAAGTAATTTTCTTTACATTTGTCCATGTTTGGTCAAGTGGACAATAGAATAATCCAGCAGAGTATACCCCTTGCCACCTTAGCATCCATATACATCCCTCTTAACCATATTTAACTTCCAAATAAAATCAAAATTAAAACCATGCTTCCATCTAACATTCCTCATATAGGCCAAAACATATTCACAGCCTTCCCAAAAGTACCTTTATCCATTTTTAGATCATTTTTATTCCTCTTTTTTGCTGAACCATAGTCTACCTGTGATATCATATACTTTAAATACCAGATAGAAGATTAAGCATTTGTATTAATTTCCTAATGCTGCTGTAAAAATTGACACAAAGTTAGTGGTTTAAACCACAAAAATGTATTGTTTTACAGTTCTGGAGGTCTGAAGTCTGAAATGGGCTTCATTGGGCTAAAATCAAGGTGTCAGCAGGTCTTGTATAGTTCTTTCTTTCTGAAGGCTCTAGGGAAGAATTTCCTGCTTTTTCCTCCTTCCAGAAGTTGCCCGCATCCTCGGCTCATAGCACCCTTCTATTTTCTTTCTTTTTTTTTTTCCTCCTAAAATCCTTTCCTGAAGCAACTCCCTTCTATTTTCAAAGCTAGCAATAACCTGTCAAGTCTTTTTCGTATCACATCACTGTGCCACTGTGCCACATTTCTTACATGGACCCTTGCAATTACCTTGAGCCAGTCAGGAAAATTTCCTGTGTCACAGTCAGCTGATTAGCAACCTTAGTTTAGCAACTGCACTCTTAATTCACGCTCTCCATGTAACACCGTATTTACAGGTTACAGGGATTAGATATTTACAGGTTACAGGGATTAGGTGTGAACGTCTTTTGTTGGGGGGCATTATGCGGCCTACCATACTGTAATTAACACACTTTGCATTTGTTTTTAGGGGAATGGGAGCAAGAGAAACAAAAGAAAAAATGGCTAATATTTATATGCAGATAAATAGGAGAAATATTCATAGATACTACCTGTTTCTGCAACTAATTATGAGATCGTAGCTGACATTTTTAACTTTTTTCTTCCAGTAGCTATTTCATATTCTCTCTATTTTTCAGCAAGCACTTCAGCTGGTTGTGGTTCCTTGCTGGGGGGTGGAGGAAGGGATTGTGCCAAAATTTCATTCCTAAAGGGTCTAGACCTTTAACAATTATGCCTATTTGGGGTTGTTATAATTTTCCATTAACTTTACTTAACAGAATATGATATTACTAAAAAACACCCCAAAAGATCTCCTGAATTTTAGACATCTTCTTTAACTTCCACTGGTAGTTGCCTTTTTTTTTTTTTTTTTTTTTTTGCATGTTGGTTTATTGATATGAGAGGCACCAGATGGCCAGGTGGCAGCATCAGTTTCCATTTTAATATTGGTGTGCACTTTGGTGGAAACGGAGTCTTCCCATGGAAACTAAGACCATTATATTTGCAGAGCACAAAGGTACAAAGGACAGGAAGCAAAATTTTCACTAGTAGATCACTAAAGAAAATATTGAGCGGAAGCCACTTCCATTTCTACCGCTTAATTCCCAAATTTAGAAATGCTGACTGTTTGAGAAATAGCACCATATTGATTCAGAGCATCTACTACAACATAGAGCATGTCATCCTAGTATGAAAAGTGTTATCACTGAATTCTAACTGCAACTGAATCTCTAAAATGTCATTTTACTGTTCTATCAGGCTGGTTACTTCAGGGTGATTGGTAACAAGGTAAGATTGGTGAATTTCATAAGCATGGGCCCATTGGTGTGCTACACTTGTTGTGAACCAAGTTCTCTGATCAGGAGCAATGCTATGTAGAATACCATGGCAGCGAATACAGCATTTTCAAAGTACACAGAAGGTGGTCTTTGTAAAAGCATTGTGTACATGGAAGGATCAGATGTTGATTCCAGTGGGAAAAAAAAGTGTTACCCTTTCTGTAATGGAAATGTTCCAAATAATCGATCTGTCTCAAGGAAGCTAGGTAGTTCCCCCAAGGAATTATGCCATATGAGGGGCTCAGTGTTAGTCTCTGTGTTGGCAAGTTGGACTGTCAGTGGTGGCAGTAGCCAGATCTGTAGGTAGAAATTCATGTTGCTGAGCCTATGAGTAACCTCCATTCCTTTTTTTTTTTTGAGATGGAGTCTCCCTCTGTCATCGAGGTCGGAGTGCAGTGGTGCCATCTTGGCTTACTGCAACCTCTGCTTCCTGGGTTCAGGTGATTCTTGATTCTTCTGCTTCAGCCTCCTGAACAGCTGGGATTACAGGCACCTGCCACCATGCCCAGCTAATTTTTTTTTTTTTGTTTTGTTTTTTTTTGAGACGGAGTTTCGCTCTTGTTACCCAGGCTGGAGTGCAATGGCGCGATCTCGGCTCACCGCAACCTCCGCCTCTTGGGTTCAGGCAATTCTCCTGCCTCAGCCTCCTGAGTAGCTGGGATTACAGGCACGCACCACCATGCCCAGCTAATTTTTTGTATTTTTAGTAGAGACAGGGTTTCACCATGTTGACCAGGATGGTCTCAATCTCTTGACCTCGTGATCCACCTGCCTCGGCCTCCCAAAGTGCTGGGATTACAGGCTTGAGCCACCGCGCCCGGCCTAATTTTTGTATTTTTAGTAGAGACAGCGTTTCACCATGCTGGTCAAGCTGGTTTTGAACTCCTGACTTCGAGTGATCCACCCGCCTCGGCCTCCCAAAGTGCTGGGCTTACAGCTGTGAGCCACTGCACCCAGCCATAACCTCCATTCCTGCTGCTGTGACCACTTTGTTCGTGAGCACATTGGGCAAGGATAGCAGTGGTTGGGGGGAAAGGCTGACTGATTCCAAAGAATGAATCACCTTGCTCACCTGATTATTAAGATTCTTCTCTGCTGAGATTGTTTTTTGGTGAGCGTTCATGTAAGACAAGCATCTTCTCACTTGGTGCCCATTTGGAGAAGTCTGCACATTCTTCTCGCCCAGACGGTCTTGTCACCAATTTTCTAACCATGCTTTTTCCAAATCCCTGACCATCCAGTCATACCATCAGTCACCATCCATCTATAGATCTGTACTTCTGGCCATCTTTTCTTCCAGGCACAATATACAACCAGGTATGCTACTTGAGGTTCTATCCTGGTGGAAAAATTTCCCTTCCCCTCTGTAGTGCAGGGTCAATTGAGGCTGTAATATATATGGAATTTCCTGTGTATCACACCATTTACTTAACCCCTAGAGGCCTGTTAGGACTTGAGTTTGACCAATGGAATGCAGAATAAATGTTGCTGTGACTTCCAAGATAAGGCCTTAAAAAGCCTTGTAACTTCTACTTTCTCTCTGTCTTTGGTACTGTTTTTTTTTTAATGCCTTGGCCTCCCAAAGTGCTGGGATTACAGGTGTGAGCCATTGCACCCAGCCTCTCTTTGGTATTTTAAAACCTCCATACTATGAAGAAGCTCACACTGAAGGTCTGTGTGGGAAAGAGAGGCCCAGCCATCCTAGATTGTCCAAGAATTCCAGCTGAAGACCCAGATGTGTGTGTGAGGCCATATTAAATCATCCAACTCCAGCTGATCTGGCAGCTGACTACAGCCAGTGTATGAGTCCAACCAAGACCAGCAGAACTCCCCTGTCAACCCATAGAAAGAGAGAAATAATAAATGGTTGTTGCTCTAAGCCACTAAGTTTTAGGGTGGTTTGTTATGTATTAGTAGACAACTGATATAGTAACCATCTGTTTAGAAGATAGTATTCAGATTTTTAACCATTATAAATATTGCTTGATACTCAATTTGGGGTTTAATTTGGGGAAAATTATATCTTCTTTTCGGGAAGAATACCAGTAGTATAGTCATGGGCTGCATCGTCTTCCATAGGCAATTGTAGTGGGGCTTTAGATTGTTATGCTGGTACTATGGATTACTTCAATTTGAATTTATTTTATTTGATTTAACATACGCAAACTGGGAGTAGGGTGTTTACCAAGAGTTGTTAAAGCATTTTTAGGGAGATAGGGTCTGAGGGTAGGGTTACCAAAGAAGTAATTTTCCGAGATAGACTAATTGGTTGTGATTGTTTAGCTAAACTTGCCCTAATGTGAAAAATAGGTAAATACTCCATAAATATTAATCACTGTTATCATTACAGAATCCGATAATAAATCAGTGGAATTTCTGTAGAAATAAAGAAGATTCTGCAGTGGTAACAATGGCTAATATTTATTGAGTGTTTTCCTGTGTCAGAAACTTTTAAGTGCTCTGTAAGTATTAATTCATTTATTCCTCACCAAAGCTGGATGAGATGGCTACTGTCATTCCCACTTTATAGTTGAGGAAACTGAGTAAAAAGAGTTAAGCAACTTGTGGAGAGTCACAGCTGGTAAATACTAACAGCTGAACCCAGATGATAGTATACCATAATCAGTGTTCTTAATCAGTAGTCTGTATTTTGTTTTTCTTCTAGATTACTCTGGAGAGTATACTGAAGTAACTTTACCAAAGTTTGGGATATTACATTTATAGTTGGTAGTGATGCAATTACAAATTTAAGAGTAAAACTCTTCGTGAGAATTATACGAATATTATTAGGCTTATCAAAGCACACCCTGAGTGCATAATATTTCTAAAATCTAGTGTGCATACATAACATCTGTTTTATGGTATTTTATTCATTTTGCCCTAATTAGGCAAAATGCTAAGTAGAAATAGAAAATCCAGTTTTGATCATAAAATCTTATGTTTGAACCTTTAGAATGCTTCTATATTTCAACACTTTAAAAGTCTAATTGATTTAAGAAGACAAGGAGAACCACATCAAATAATGAAATATATTAATCCCAAAGAGGTAAGAACATTATTTATTGATATAGCAGCCTGTATTTTTCCTTAAAATGTGATTACTTTATCGGTTCAGTGTGCTCATAATATTTATTTCTTTTTAAAACTATTTTTATTAAAGTGTTACACATATGTTATCTTGGGATTCACTCAGGGTGGCTGGCAAAATATTAGCAAAATATTAGGGAAAGTTATAGATTAGTCTCAAACCTTTTGGAAGGCCAAAAGGTTTTATTGGGACAGGCTGAAGATGGCCGGTCCATTATGTTAGGGAAAAGATAGGGATGATAAAAGGCTTTCCCATTTTAAATCTGTTTACCCCACATCCCTTTGTCTCTACTGTAACTATTTACTCATGTAAACTTTGTGCTGGATGGTCCTCTCGGGGAGATCAAAGGGGAATTACCCATTAATAGTTTTTACTCTGGGCTGGGAACCTAAAGCTTTTATCATTTGTAAAACCCCTCTTTTACCATGTTAATTATTCACAAGCATGTTGACTTAGAACCTCTGTTATGAAATCTATTACTGAATAAATGTGTGGATGGATGGGGGTGTTGGTTGATTGGTTGCATTTCACCCTCTGAAAGCAGCCAATGACCATCCCTAGCCCACTTGAATCACTGAACCAGGTGTGACAGTGCATTTATTCATCTGTCATTGAGTTAGGGTCTGTAGGCCAGACCTCTGCAAGTGGTGGTTGACATCTCAATGTTGAAAGTTTATAAAACATAAATATGTAGCTCAATGAATCATCACAAAGCAAACATCTATGTAACCATCACCCAGATTAACGTTTTCATATTCCAAATCACTCCCTTTGGGTACCCTACAAATCACTGCCAACTCCCTTCTTTCAAAAGGTAACCACTATTTTATGCTCTAACATAATACTTTAATTTTCTATTTTTGAGCTGAATATTAGTAGAATCCTATAGTATGCTTTGGGGTGTATGTTTGTTCATCCAACAGTATATTTACATAGCTAAAATTAATTTTTAATAGGCATTCACTTTTATGAATATATTGCCATTTATTCATTCTACAGTTGATTGACTTTTGTATTTTTTCCATTTTGGGGCCATTATAATAACTGTTCCTGAGCATTTTCATGTCTCCTCATGCATACGTGTACAAATTTTTTTTTTTTTTTTGGTCTATACTCCACCTAGAAATGGAATTGCTGAGCAACAAGTTATGTGTATCACAACTTTGGTAGATAATGCCAGACTTTTTCCCAAAACTATTGTAGTAATTTTTATTTGCACTAGCAATCTTTGATATTCTTAATACTTTACAGTCTCACCAATACATAACATTGTCAGTTTGTAATTTGTATTTACCTGATACTTTTGTGACATAGAAAGTGCTTTTCAGGTCTCCTCTGTGTCTGTGTGTGTGGGTGTTTGTCTTCCCTATCCTTATGGGTTTTTTTTGGGGGGGATGGGTAGAGTTGGCTTTGTTTGTTTGTTTGTTTGAAGACAGGTCTCTGTCACCCAGGCTGGAATGCAGTGGCACAGTCAGCTCACTGCAACATCAGCCTTCTGGACTCAATCAGCCCCATGAATAACTGGGACTATAGATGCACACCACCATGTCCAGCTAATTTTTTGTATGTTCAGTAGAGACGGGGGGTTTCACTATGTTGGCCAGACTGGTCTTGAACTCCTGACATCCTGATCCATCTGCCTCGGCCTCCCAAAGTGCTGGGATTACAGGCATGAAGNGGGTTTTGCCATGTTGCTCAAGCTGGTCTTGAACTTTTAGACTCAAGTGTTCTGCCTACCTTGGCCTCCCAAAGTGCTGGCATTACAGGCATAAGCCACCACACCCCTTTCTGGTCTTTATCAGTTATTTGTATCTTTTTTTTTTTTTAACTACTTCTTTTTTCTCAATTTATTTTTTTGTGGTAAAGTACTCATAATATAAAATTTACTGTCCTAACCATTTTTAAGAATACAGCTTAGTGGTTCTAAACATGTTTATAAGGTGTGTAACCATGACCAACCATCACCACCACCCATCTCCATAAATCTTTTGACCTTATAAAACCAAAACTCACAGGGCGCGGTGGCTCACACCTGTAATCCCAGCACTTTGGGAGGCCGAGGTGGGCGGATCACGAGGCCAAGAGATCGAGACCATCCTGGCCAACATGGTGAAACCCCATCTCTACTAAAAATACAAAAATTAGCTGGGTGTGGTGGTGCACATCTGTAGTCCCAGCTACTCAGGAGGCTGAGGCAGGAGAATTGCTTAAACCCAGGAGACGGAGGTTGCAGTGAGTCGAGATTGTTCCACTGCACTCCAGCCTGGCACCTGGTGATGGAGTGAAACTCTTGTCTCAAAAACAAACAAACAAACAAAAAAACCAAAACTCTATCCTCATTCAATAGTAACTCCTTATTTTCCCTTCTACCTATCTCCCAGCAACTACCATTCTACCTTCTGTCCCTATGAATTTGACTAATTACCTCATGGGAGTGGAATTATACAGTACTTGTCTTTTTGTGATTGGCTTATGTCACTTAGCACAGTGTCCTCAAGATTCACCCATATAATAGTTTACTGCAGGATTTCTTTCCTTTCTTAAGGCTGAATAATATCCCATTGTATGTATATACTACATTGTACTTGTTCACTCATCCACTGATGGACACTTGGGTTGCTTCCATGTTTTATCTATTATGAATAATGCTTCTATCAATGGTTACACAGATATCTCTTTGAGACCATTCTTTTAATTCTTTTGGGTATATATCCAGAAGTGGAATTGCTGGATTATATGGTAATTCCATTTTTAAGTTTTTGAGGAACAACCATACTCTTTTTCACAGTGGCTGTACCATTTTGTACTCCCACCAATAATGCACAAGGGCTATATATTCTTTATAGAAGTCCCTTGTCAGTTATCTGTGTTATATGTATCTTTTTTTCACTGTATGGCTTGTCACTCTCTTGATGGAGTCTTTTTTATAATAAAAAAAATCAAATATATACAAAAGGAAAAAGAGTAAAGTCATAACCCACCATGTACCCATCATCTGGCTTCAACAATTAGCAATTCATGACCAGTCTTGTTTCATCTATACCTCTATTCACTTTCTACGACCCCTAGAAAGTTGTAGAAACAACTGGAACACAGTGGTATGATCACAGTTCACTGCAGCCTCAACCTCCTGGGGCCCGGTGACCCTCCCTTCTCAGCCTCACAGGTAGCTGGAGCAACAGGCACGTGCCATCATGCCCAGCTAATTTTTTCATTTTTTGTAGAGATGGGCTCTCCTTAAGTTTCCCAGGCTGCTCTCAAAGTCCTGGACTCGAGCAGTTCTTATGCCTCAGCTTCCTAGTGTGCTGGGATTACAGGCATGAGCCACTACACCCAGCTGGTGCTTTTTAAAAATTATTATACTTTAAGTTCTGGGTTACATGTACAGAACATGCAGGTTTTTACATCGTTATACATGTGTCATGGTAGTTTGCTGCACCCATCAACCTGTCATCTACATTAGGTATTTCTCCTAATGCTATTCCTCCCCCAGCCCCCTGGCCCCCAACAGACCCTGATGTGTGATGTTCTTCTGTCTGTGTCCATGTGTTCTCATTGTTCAACTCCCACTTATGAGTGAGAACCATGAGGTGTTTGGTTTTCTGTTCCTGTGTTAGTTTGCTGAGAATGATGGTTTCTGGCTTCATTCATGTCCCTGTAAAGGACATGAACTTATCCTGGTTTATGGCTGCATAGTATTCCATGATGTATATGTGCCATATTTTCTTTATCCAATCTATCATTGATGGGCATTTGGGTTGGTTCCAAGTCTTTGCTATTGTGAACAGTGCTGCAATAAATATACATGTGCATGTGTCTTTATAGTAGAATGATTTATAATCCTTTGGGTATATACCCAGTAATGGGCTTGCTGGGTCAAATGATATTTCTGGTTCTAGATCTTTGAGGAATTGCCACACTGTCTTCCACAATGGTTGAACTAATTTACACTCTCACAGTGTAAAAGCATTCCTACTTCTCTACATCCTCTCCAGAATCTGTTGTTTCTTTTTTTTTTTTTTTTTTTTTTTTTTTTTTTTTTTTTTTTTTTTTTTTGAGATGAAGTCTCGCTTTGTCACCCAGGCTGGGATGCAGAGGTGCGATCTTGGTTCACTACAACTTCTGCCTTCTGGGTTCAAGCAATTCTCCCATCTCAGTCTCCCGAGTAGCTAGGATTACAGGCGTGCACCGTGACGCCAGGCTAATTTTTGTATTTTTAGTAGAGATGAAGTTTCACCATGTTGGCCAGGCTGGTCTTGAACTCCTGACCTCTGGTAATCTGCCTGCCTTTGCCTCCCAAAATGCTGAGATTACAGGTGTGAGCCACCGCACCTGGCCATTTCCTGCCTTTTTAGTGATCACCTCCTAACTGGCATGAGATGGTATCTCCTTGTGGTTTTGATTTGCATTTCTCTAACGACCAGTGATGATGAGCTTTTTTTTCATGTTTGGCCGCGTGAATGTCTTCTTTTGAAAAGTGTCTGTTCATATTCTTTGCCCACTTTTTGATGGGGTTTTTTTTTCTTGTAAATTTGTTTAAATTTTTTGTAGACTCTGGATTTTAGCCCTTTGTCAGATGGATAGATTGTAAACATTTTCTCCCTCTTCACTCTGGTGATGGTTTCTTTTGCTGTACAGAAGGTCTTTAGTTTAATTAGATCCCATTGATCAGTTTTGGCTTCTGTTGCTATTGCTTTCGGTGTATTAGTCATGAAGTCTTTGCCCATACCTGTGTCCTTAATGGTATTGCCTAGGCTTTCTTCTAGGGTTTTTATGGTCTTAGGTCTTATATTTAAGTCTTTAGTCCATCTCAAGTTAATTTTTGTAAAAGGTGTAAGGAAGGGGTCCAGTTTGAGTTTTCTGCATATGGCTAGCCAGTTTTCCCAACACCATATATTAAATAGGGAATCTTTTCCCCATTGCTTGTTTTTGTCAGGTTTGTCAAAAATCAGATGGTT